GAGATAGGCGTCTTGTCGTGCGACCCACATATCGTGCACCACAGGAGCACGAGTACTGATAAACGATCATTGAACGGGTCAACGACGGTAGTCTATCCTTCAAGGGTTTCGGAAGCAACGGCTTGTTGTGAAAAATGACTCTCAGCCGGGCCGCGAAATAACTTTTCTCGACAGCGTCTTTCAGGCGTCTGGATAACATATCAGCTGCAGAATCGCCCTTAAAGGGTATATGTATGTAAAGCTCTTTCTTAGGAGCAATGCTCCTAGGTGGCTTTCGATTGCGTTCCTTCAAATGTTTCATGATAAATTTATCAGGATAACCATTTTCCCTGAGGGCGTCGCTGATTCTCTGTAGTTCTTCGTTGACGGTATCCGGTGTACAAATACTGCGCGCCCGGAAGGCGAGAGATCTGATTAAACTTCGCTTATGCTGTAGCGGTACTGCGCTGTGGAAGTTAGTGTACTGCCCAGTCCGTGGGCTTTCTGTGTACCTTTCTGCTGCATGATCCATCCGAGAACCAGGACGACTGCGCTCGTTTCCAGCATGACTTAGATCGACTGCCAACGTGATCCACTGAAGTGCAACTCCCTCTTAAGGCAAGCAAGTCGGAGTTCATCGGTATCACCAGACGTCCAGGCACACGATCGAACACCTTGTACGGCCAGTTGCTTCATCCTAACACATCTGACAGAGGCTTAGGAATACTCTCGCGACCTGATATGAGATCACTAGAAAACACAGAAATTGTGCCGTCCGGGACTTGTAATGCTCTGAGCATTAGGGACGCAGTTTCTCCATATGGTTCCACAAGTGAATAACAAGTACTGACCACACATTCACTCTGCGGCATGTGCTAAAGCAACGCCACGATTACTGCAGACCGGCAAAAGCCGTATTCCTCAACTTCAAGAGTGCGTTCGATTCGGTTGATCAATACATTCTCTCCAATCTACTTGTGCAGCAAAGTGTTTCCATGAAATATGTGATCATCGTACATGCTCTATACTCCAACACTACAGGTCACATCAGGATCTGCGGTGACCTGTCTGATGTCTTTCCGACAACAATTGACATTCATCAGGGTTGCCCCATTTCCCCATTTTTGTTCAACTTCGCCGTGAACTCCGTCATGGAGTGTTCCTTGCGGAATATCACGACGTAGGCGTCGTGGTACTGCCTGGTGAAAGGCTAGTTGATATTACTTATGCGGACGATGTCATCTTGCTTTTTGATGATATTGGGGCGGTGCAATCAACCTTGAATGGCCTCTGAAGAGTGATCCTATTATTTGGTATGCGCTTCGCACCTTCAAAGTTCAAAGTGTTGCTGCAGGACCACCAACCACTTGATGACCCCTTGATAACGAGGAACTCGAGGTGGTTGATCGATTCACTTACCTTGGCAGCTGCATCAGCAACGATGGGCGCATAGAAACCAAACTCAGTTCACACATTGCAAAAGCCTGAACTATCTTCTTGAAGCTGCGGTATCTTTGGTGTCAGAAGACATTTTCCCTTCGTCTGGTAGCCGCCTTTACGTGGCCACAGTGAGGGCCGTCCTGCTCTATTGACATGAGACTTGGTTTCTTAGGTTTGATGATCTGAAGCGCTTTCAAGTGTCCGATCATCGTTGTCTACAGAGCATTGCTGATGTCGGGTGACACCAACATGTCCGCAACGATGATGTGCGTAGGCGAGTACTACCCACTTAGTCATGCTAGTTCCTTAGAACAACTGATAGCGCTGAATAAATTGCGTTGGCTTGGGCACCTACTACTTATGCATGGTCATCGATTACCGAGGAGGACCTTGTTTTGTCTGCAAGATATAGGGTGGCGCTAGGCTTAAGGTGGACAGAAGTTGACTTGGCAGCGGGAAATGAAGTCACTGACGACCAAACTGGGTGCCGTTGGTCTGTCTCGCCTTCCGGGCCTGAGTCCACGTGACCCGTCTTATGCTTAGCTCGAGACTAATGGCTCGCAGCCGACACCATTGATGCGTGTACTGCCGTCTACTTGTCAGCCTACCTGTTTAAAGTGTGTTTGGTGCTAACTTATCTGCTGGGTAATGGTTGATTATGACGTGGGGCAGTGAAAGCCCCAAGGAAGCTGTCTCACTGATGCCGCTTTATTTTTGCACCATGGCCAGCTGTTTGTGACGGAATGTTGTCTACACAAGGTGTAGGCGCCTTGACCCTGAATGTTTGCTTAGGGCACTAAGGTTTTCCTGTAAATCCCCCTTCTCTCCCTCTTCTTATTCTTTATTTCATAGGTCATCATGGTTGTATGACAGCGAAGCAACAGTTCAACTGGTTGATGTACTGATGTTGTTGATGTTTATGAGGCGGGTACAACGGAAACGAAGTTGTGAGTGAAGACACAGTTACTTGTATTTTGTATTCCAGACAGCGCATTTGCCATTGATTCAATTAAAATGTAGCAGCTTATTAAAATAAAGGTGAACCTTCAGGTCAGGTACAACTGGACAGTGCGATAAAAGTCATGAGCCCTTTGATGATCAGCAGCTGTTTTTTAATCCGAATGACAAGAGTATTTGAAACATTCAGTGGTATACTGTCTGGACCTTGCTAACACGTTTGGTGCACAGTTATGGAGCAGGCTAGAAAGAGAATTACCTTACCTAGTGTCAGGTATTTGTCAAGCGTTTTCCAAAAGTTTTACTCCTTATGTGCTTGTATGGGTACTGGCCGGCAATGTGTTCCATATTTGGGAGTATCGATTCAGAAAAAAGTTTGCTAAAGCATTTGTCTGTTATCTTTTTCCACTGCGAAATTTTATGTATTGTGTTCAGTGTACCCTTTATGTTTTAAAAGTGACACGTTCATGCTGAATGTGTAACATGTTTAGCGGAATACTAAAAAGCTGTGTTAGGTTTATCTTGTAGTATTGTAACCTTATTGGACCAATATCAAGCAAATCACATCACATCACTTAGATTAGGATAGCGTTATGCATTCGCTTTGCGAACGCTCGCTGCACTCGTTCTATAGCAATACGATCCTACTCTTTTAAATTGTTATATGCCATTGAGCAGTGTTCAAATTTTGGGCGGGCATACGAATTATATATTGAGCAAATAGGACCTCGTATAATTTATGAACAGTAATGCGTTGCGTTTTGCTCTACCTGTTACATAATACGCTTGTTCTAAGCATTTAATGGCGCATGAGTAACGAAGCCCTAGATCACGAACAGTAAGTGATTTGTCATCACGGCCCAATGCATTGTGGTTAGTACTCTGCAGTTGTATGACGTGGCGCCGCATTTGTCGGTAGTGAGCGACACTCTCCACGTGATGCACTAACTTTCAATTGCATGGAGGTCGAGCTGGATTTCCGTTAGTTTATCTGAGACTGGTTAAATGGAAGGAGTTAACTGTTTTAATGTCATCGGTAAAAAATAACGTGTCATTTAACTCGTATAATGGAAACAATGAACCGAGAACCCAGCCTGACTAGTCCCAAAAGAACGAAACGGCCGTCTAGTGCAGTGGTTTTTAGCCAGATGTAGTAGTAACTGGTCTCATTCTAATATTTCGCTGATTATGATTGTTATAGTGACGTTTTTTAATGCGACTTGCTCCACTGCACAAATTGGGCTTCAGCTGCCGAATAGCTGAAGCTTCAGCAAACTGAAGCATTGCTCTCTAGTTTAATTACTTTAAACGAATCACGCGGGCGTCTTCACGTAGTGCATTCAAACATGTGTTGCGTAATAGAGCTAGCCGACAGTTTCGGACCATTGGCGACCATGTTACGTGGAAATGCTTTGAAATCCTAGTGGACATCCTCCTCTCAGTTCGGCATGTTCGACCTTACTGTACAGTTGCGAAACCTGGTCCCTAAGATCGGCGGACATAAAGAGGCTAGTTACGTTCGACCACCGGCGTCTTCGCAATTTGGCTCGCATCTGGTGGGAACACCGCATGAGTAACGAGCGTGTTCGACACCTTGTTTACGGCACAGAAAAAAGAACTGAACCGCTCAGCACCGTTATTTCATGCACCAGGCTCCGATGGCTCGGCCACGTGTTGCGCATGCCAGCCCACCGACTTCCACGACGTGCGTTGTTTGCTCACCGGGGATGTGGATGGGAGAAGAGGAGGGGTGGCCAAGCGATGACTTGGTCCAGAGGAATGAAGGCACTCACTTCGGAGTTGACCTCGGTTGGAGCGTCACGGCTCCCTGGTTGGGGTCCGAAGGACAAGGAACATGTTTGGCTGGATACACTTGTTGATATGGCTTGGAGCCGACCTCAGAAGCGTTCCTGCTGTGAGTTTCTTTGTCCCACCCCATCCCTTTTAGTCTCCCCCTCCATCTGCGATATATTTTCCTAGCGTAAAACTTGATAATTTTTTTTGCTTAGTAGCCGGCTGGTTTCATACCGGAGTGATGCCCATCCGTTGCTGTTAGCTCAGCTGGTATGCAACTGTCGTATTTATTTTCCTTTTCCTTTATTTATTGCGGCACAGTAGCTGAGGTGTTTCCCACCTCTAGATAACGTGTATAATGATGAATGATGATCTCAGTTCGGCCAACGTACTCGCTACCACAAGTAGTTAACCTGCGTAGCAACGCCTGGTTGCTTCAGTTTGCCGAAGCTTCAGATATTTAGCGGCGGAAGCCCAATTTATGCAAACAGACCGAACTCACTACCAACCTTGCTTTACCTTGGTGAGGTTGTTGATCGTACTTACTTGAACTGAATGATCTTGTACTTTGCTTCTTTTTGTGCGCAACGCAATAATTTCACAGCTGACGAGAATACTCGAAATACCTGAATTCCATATATCCTGTTAACATGTTATTTCTTCCTATCTTGTAATTTGTGAAGGGAAAATGCTGCATGAAATTTCGTTCACTAAGTTGAACGAGGACCTTTGCTATTTAAGTTGGAATGGATTGCTGTCAGCTTTGGGGACATTGCAGTTTACATACACTCTGTGCAGTGTAGCTTCCTCCCTGGGACCAAAGATATCTCATGTCGTTCACGTGAGTATCCCGGTATACTGCAGGAACCACATCCACATACGAACGATTGCGTTCTGGATTCCACCCTAGTCGCTCACATGCAGCCTTAATGAATTCTGGTGATCGCCGTTTCGTGTTACGATTTTCAACCACACCGACCACCAGTAGACGGGCTTTGCGCTAGACATCACAGCATTCCATCATTACAGATCTCATGATCTTTTTACCATGTTCTCCTTTCCCTCATGGACTTAAATGGACCGTGGTAGTGGCACCACGCGCCATCACTCTGACCTCGGCTTTTTTGCAGACTTATATGCATGCGTTGTTATTGGATTATGCTTAAACCCGTCATTAGAACAATACATCATCACGTAACGAACTCAGGAGGAATGCATTCTATTCACATTCCGTAAGGTCGCTTCGATCATATAATTATTTCACCGTACAATTAATCACTGGCCTATCTGTTGTCAGCAATGCAAGGAATTCCTCCGTTTGCTCATCTTCATGCTTCCCTGTCTGGGAAAGCGACGATTCACGGTTTGTTGTCACCCAGCGCTGGTGGTGTGACGCTCAGACACACCTTGGTACATGCACACATCACTGAAGCGCACACGATTGACCATCCTGTTTTATCCCTATACGTATCGGCGTTATGTAGGGGGAAAGGTGTAAGACACTTCCCCTTAAGCGTTTACGCAAATAACGGACCTCATTTGCAAAGCTTGTGAAATCCGTACGTTGCTCACCGGTGAGCATCTTATCCCACCCCTTCCCTAACGGCTTATGCATATACTCAATGATGTCTGGAAAACTACTGAAGCTTGGGCCATACTAGATTGCAATACAGTCATGGCATGTACACAAGTGGCTAGCCAGATAATCACTTAACAACACAATGTGTAGAGATTTAAGTATCAGCCGGCTCAGATGCGTTAAATAAAACAAAGGATTCAATAATCATAGTCCGAATCGCAAGTGTGGCACACATGGACTTTAGAAATTTCTGGATTGCAATCCTCGTGGGCGCACATTTGACACACATTATAGGCGATCCACATTTCAGAAAGTCGACTGCGAACAAGCAGTGCCATTCATCGGACTCGTACAATTAAGTGGACGATTTGGCTTTTTCCCTTTACTAACCTTCTTCTTGCCTCCTTTCTATTGCTGCTGGTTTATTTTTTACTGTAGTGAACTTATAAATGGTGACGCTGTTAATCCTTAGACAGCTTCACTTTTGCGGTATCATTTATGCCAGCTTGAGTTGACTGCTTTTGCAGTGGCACACAACTCTTAACTGACCTAAATTTTAGTTTTGAACGTCAACTGACGTTGAAGGAGCAGATCTATCGTAATCAGATGAGATCATGACTGAAGACGAAGGCATGTAGTCGTGATCTATAGATACGGCAGTTGTAATGGTAATACTACATTCAGCAGAAGCATCTGCTGATGCGGAGTGGACTTGGGTAGGGTCTACATATCACTGAATGTAGTTGAAGGGGACCAGAATGACTTGATTGGCACAAATATCCTGTGGCTCATTAAGTTGGACAGCAACGAAATCATTCTCATTAAAAAAGGAAGGGATTAAACGACCAAATCCCACAGGACTTAACGCTTTTTGTAGCAGTAGCAGCAGTTGCTGATTTGTTGTAGCTTTGTCCTTGACGAGAATGACTTAGCATCCGTTGATCAGTAAAGGTATTGAATGCTGACTTCAAAGGCTTGAAAAACGTGCGACCGCAAGGCTGGAGACGATATGACAATGTCAACATGGTAATATTGCTGGCAATTGCCAATTCTACAGCGGCAAGAGTCTTATGACTCTGGTGACTATCGAGAGTTGACAAAGCAGGTTCTGTGTTCGACGATTTGATGTTAGCGGCGAAATTGTTGGATCATTTTATGAATTGCTCATCATCAAACCATCCATTATCCGGGCAAGAACCAATGGATTCGACCGATGTTCCTTTCAACAGATTAGGATCCCGTCGTTCCCTCGGGAATATGAACATTGGCGGGATGTATGTCCCCATCGCATTAAAAGTAGAAATGACTGTCACATTTCCCCATTCAGAACTTGTCGATTTTCCTATGGCGCGTCTTCGTTTCGGAGCCAAACTTTTGTTGAATTTGAACATAGGAAAAAGCAGTCTCATCCATATTCCATAGCCTAATTCCTGTAATTGAGTAAGATCTCAACACTGAACGCAAACAGTAGTGAAATCTGTCCACATCTGCCTTGCTGAATCCAACTGCATGAAAAACGCTGACTGCCTCAGGACCTCTAAGCGAAATAGAAAGATTTCGTATTGGAAATCTCCCTAGCCAAATTCGACCCACAGATTTAGTCTCACTGTTGAATAGATGAGAAATGTTCAGCTTTTCTTCGAGATCATATGCCGAACGTCGAACGTCATCATCATCTTTTGGCTAAGTGCCTCTTCCAACTTCGACTGAAATTCAGTCACCGGTTCCCATTGGGCGCGATTCCCTGAATTCGATCCGCTGCCTTGCGGACAGGCTATTCAGCCAAAGGCTCGGGGTGGTGTCCCCTAAGTCAACACCCTACTTCGGCTTGGGCAACCGGGTAGTATCTCGCCCTCTGACGAAACCATGGACATTGTTGTGTTGTGTTTTCCTTTACTATTTCTGTACCTTCGTTTGAATCCCATGGTTTCTGATGGCTCTATGTCTATTCGTAGACGTTTGCAAAATATATATCTGTTCTGAAGCCACCCAAATTACACATCCATATGCAACGACCTGAGATCAGAAAAACAACGGTGAATATGCTCAAGTTAATTTATATCTTCTTCTACGTGTCGCCGCCTTATAACGATACGGTTTGTTTCAATGTGCTTGAACGAAACTGCTTATTCTTAAGCTGTCTCTTTGTTCAAGGATATGCATTCCTATTTTCATAAGTCCCCAAGTGTGTCTAACTAAGCAGGTTTTTTTTTAACCCCATATTCCCCTCTATACTTTTTCGCTCGTACCCTCGAAGCCGGATTCTTGGGATGGCTATAATTTGTAAAATAATGTGTTCATAAGTACAGTAGTAAACGCATAAAACAGCGGTGGTATTGCAGCTCATTAATTGTCATTTTTATTTGCCTTGACTATTCGCGGTGAGCTAGACACATTGCGATATAGAAGCAAATGTTGGTACCTCAGGTTGTTTAGTTGATTGGCTGATTGTTCGCTGAGCTCGGCAGGTTGACTGCAAACGTTTCGTCACCACTCGAGGTGACATCGTCAGTGCGAGTGTATTTAGCAGTGTGGCGCGTACGAGGCGTCGGTGAGTGTGAGTGATCGATCTCCTAGCCGCTACTCTGAGTTTGGATTGTTCGCCTGAGCACATGACCATAGAAATACGATCTTCTGAGTCTCACCTCGTAGTGTACGCGCGTGGGACTCTTCGCTTGTCGTCGTTTGATGCAGTAGCGTCTAGCGCTCATTCGATCCTATAGGCGAATTTCAAAGTCGTGTAGAATACATACAACCATTAAGACATACTTGTTACTTCCCTTCAGATTCTTATAGGGCGTAAAACAGCATGCCGAATACTTAGGTATGAAGACAAAGAACAGATACATATAAATATGACCAATGGAGATGTGGTCAATATTTACGCCAGTAATACGGAAGGGTCACAGTTTTCGGATAGCTGCTTGTTATGTTTTGATTCTGTGTGGTAAAGCCCGTATGAATGCCTGTCTGTAGGCTCACGATAAGTGAGTGGAATTTGGGTCGCGCAGTTTGGGAAAAATATGATATGCGATGGGCCGCCTTTCTTTCCACGCCTTGGTGCGTCTCTTCCCTTATTGTCTATCGCCTAGAACATGCGGACAAAGTATTTTGATAGCGCTTTAGCATCTTCGCATACTTGGTTCTATTGCTTTGCCACACACTACTAGGTACGTGCGTCTAATTCGTGATACACGCATCACTACGGCACTTGGTACTTTTCAAGCTCAGAATCCTCTGTAAATCCTATCGTCTTGTGAGAGAAGAACAACTGAGTTTTTGAGATCATCTTTTCTGCATCATAGTGTAGATGTCCCTAGGGGGTTTTTCTGTCTCGCAATCCGTGGTCCAGCTTTAATTGTTTTTGATTTAGACTATTACCCCAGTACCAGAGAGCCCTGAAACCTCACGTGTCCCCTATCCCTGGGCTCCTATGCAATTTAAGGGTAAAATGAAAAAAAAACACAAACACCATAACATAAGGGAATGTATAATTTAGTATTTTCTAAACGTTTGGTTAGAATTCGTATGGAACTCGAGAGACCAAAACACGAAGGTTTAAGTGATCAATTGTTTTCGATTAATTCTTCTTCAGGCTCATACAATAATATACATTAGGGTAAGGTCTGTTGCAATCGTCGGTATAATAAAGAAACAATTGATCAGCAAATTTTACTTGTGATCATGATGGCAGCCATCTGATCCCATGACTGAAGACAGGTGGAGTTGCGGAGTACCAGCACTTCATTCCCGGCTGGTGGTCGGCCAGGGAAATTGTAGTGTTTGTATCATCTTCTTTTGGACACACTAGTACGGATTTGTCAGGCTTAGGCATACTGTCTCAGCGGTGGCCATTAGGCTTGCTCTTACAGGATGGTTTTGCCTTGGTGGTATTTTATGGAGAATCTGAAAGGATGTTCGTTTGTTTATCTGGTGGCCTGTGTTGATTAGATGTTTTGTAATCGCGCTGCAGTTCGTCCTATTCTCCCGATTGTAAAACCGACCTGGGAGGTGTTCCTTAATTCTCTTACCTAAATGCCTGGTCGTCCGTCCAATGTGCCTGGCCCCGCACGGGCAGGTGAACCGGCAGATTAACATTGATTGGCGATGATCAGGCACTCGGTCTTTGAATCTCGGAACTAGTAAAGGTCTGCTCGTGAAAATCACATTCAGCTGAGCCGCATTAAAGGTCTTTTTGCAGCTTTGCTGTAGTCGACGTGTGCATGTCTCAGCCGCACTATTTCCTTTGAATGGAAGTGTCAGGTAAAGCTGTTTCTTTTCAACAGTTTGTTTTGATACTTTTGGTAAGCATCGCCTCATATGGGTGTCGATAATTCGCTCCGGATATCCATTTTCGAGAAGCGTTTCTTTGATTTGTACGAGTTCGGCTTTTATGGTGTCGTCGCTGCAGATTTTGTATGCCCGATCGGTTAATGTTCGTACCAGCGTTCTTTTTTGGATAAGTGGGGCAAAACTATGAAAGTTCATGTATTGTCCCGTCCAGTATGGTTTCCTGTATACTTTTATTTGGATTGATCCATCGGTTCTTCTGATAAGACTTGCGTCCAAAAAATTCATTTGGTTTTTGTTTTCTTCCTTAGCTGTAAATGCGGCATTGGGGTGCGCATTGTTGAAACAGTCGATTATATCCTGGAGTTTGGTGGTTCGATCACTTAGATAAAATATAGCATCCACATAGCGCCGATAGAATTTCAGACCCGATATAACCCGTTTTAATGGACCGCTTTCTAGCATTCCCATCTAACTATCCCCCAACAATGGACCAAGCGCAGATCCCACTGCAACGCCATTAACCTGTCTATAAAACTCGCTATTGAATTGAAATTGAATGTTGTACGTACATCTGAGTATCAGTTGTTTCAGTTGTTTGCTTCGTATACCGATGTTTTAGCATGCAGGTCAATGTACGAGCACAGGTAGTTAACTGTTTCTATCAGAGGCACGTTGGTAAACAATGAAACAATATCCAAGGAACACATCCGATACTCTTGGACATTCATATCTCGAATTTCGTTGACAAACTGGAATGTATCTGCCATTCTATGAGGAGCAAGCATTTGCCTGCTGAGATTCAGCATTTTTGTCAGCCATTGCGCAATGTTGTGGTACGGTGAATTCCTCATATCTAGTATGGGTCTCAATGGTGTGTCACGTTTATATATTTTTGGCAGGCCCTAAAGGCGAGGAGTAGTGGAGTCTATGGGACGTAGTCAATCATACGTCTCTTTGGTGATGGCGC